GTCAGAAGAGCCTGCCCCTGAGGACCTGGGAGAGCCAGCAAGTAAGGCTGGAGGGTAGTTCTCAACACAAACAGGTCTGAGGTCCTCCCTACTCCTGGCTTCTCCAGCTGGGTTAGAGACTGCTGTGAATACTTGGAGAAAGGCCAGGATAAACATACCATTTTCCTGACCATCAACTATATTCATCAGCAAAGCAACTTAAATATGTTTACACTAAAACCAGCACAGATATTATAGGGTCGAACAGAAAATTCAGGTAGACTTTCAGTATACAAACTGCAGACTTCAAGGTCCCTTCTTCCTTTTAAGGATTCCTTTAGAGACTGAACTCACTGACCACTACGCATGAAGACTCAATGATGAGGTTGGTGAGAAAGCTGGGCAGTTAAGACTGCTTCCCACTCTTGCAGAAGTCCGGAGTTCAATTCCCAGCACTTCCATCACAGCATCTAGAATTTCACACCAGCAACCTGCTGGTGTATGGTTCTGCCTAAGGTAGGCACAGGATACCCCTGAGTTCAACTCAACATTCATTGGAAAAGTGGTAAATATCTCTTTTCTAAAGGATTGTGTGTCCTGCTACAGGTAGTTGGGTTGGTCTAGCCTAGGAAACACAACCATCACACTAAATTCTCCCTGGATGGAGCGCATTGGCAGTAGCCTGCCAGCTTCCTACCCCTAGGCATTACTTGACTTGCTGACAAGAGACCCATCCACCATCAGCCCCTGTACAGTTTAAGCCTTTTTATGAAACACATTAACAATACTTCTTCCATTGGAGGAAACAGAATACACTTCTTGGGACACGGTATCCCTGGTGGTTCACAACCCTGGTGGTGGAAACGTTTTCTGCTGTTATAGCTGGTTTTGTTTTTAAAACAATAGCCACATGACAGAGACCTTAGGAAAAAATGTTTTTTTTCTAGAAAGAGTCACAACTGACCTCAAACAAGAAGGGGGAGGGAAAAAAAATCAATGGAAGGCCACACAGAAATAAAGAGCAGTTTAATTGGGTTTGCTTTTTGTTTTTGTGTGTAAAATACATATATAGTCAAAGACTAAACTGCTTTTAAATTAAGAACAGAGAACATGAAATTTTAATGAGACAATAATACACTAAAACACGCTACAAAGATGTATTACTAACAGGATGAGGGAAGAGAGCAGGGAGAAGAACACAACAGGAAGGGAGAAAAAACAAATGGCTACAGGCAGGGGGAAAGCCTCGAAAGCAACAAGATACAGGGCTTCACAACGTGCCTGAAGCATGAGACCCGAAGAAACCATACATAGACTTCCTAGTACCTGAGAGCTAGCCAGAGAAAGGCAAGCTCCTCATGACTGCTGGCTTCGGCCACAGACTTCAAAGAGTTATCATCTTTTATCCCTGCCTTGGAATGGTTAATGCTCTGGTTACCCACTGCTCCCAGCCCTTTAATTGCTCACTGAAAACGTGAGGCTTAGCACTGTGCAGGTCACAGGCTAGAACCTCCCTTCCTCCCAAAGACGATGAGCCACCACACAGGGCTCATCGGTCTCCAGGTCTCTCCTCTCAAAAGGCAACACATGAAATGCTGTCTCATAAAATGTATGATGAAAGTCCGAAGGGAAAATTCTGCCTCCGTTAAAGAGAGATTCGATCCATGGAAAACTTCAGTCTTGTATAGGAAATTTTAAAACAAAAAATATGCAAAACATAATTGGAATTGCAGCAGAACTGGGCCCAACTTCAGCTCTCCTTGGCATCACCACCAACACACCTAATTCCCTGAGTGTCTAAGTTCTCCAGCTCTGGCTAAAGGTCTTGCTTGGCTCTGAACGAGCAGCTTCAACCTCATTCTACAATCAGAGTCAGCAGAGAAAATCTATGGCAGGATCAGTGCACTTAACACCTCCCCGATTCCACATCACCCACACATACTAGTATGCACATGTGCTCATGCACACATACTTGCACACGGGCGCGCACACACGCGCACATGCGCTCGCGCTCTCTCTCTCTCTCTCTCTCTCTCTATCTCTCTCTCTCTCTCTCTCATAAGGGGCTTTGATCCTTACTTCATTCCACGGACACAGGACTGCCCTACTCCTGGCTCCAAAGGCTGAAGCTATGGAGTCTCCAGCCTCCCCCTTCATCTCTTGTTTCCTCCTCATCTTTCTCCTTCCCATCTTAGGCTCCTCTCACAAAAGGGAGGGCCTTACTCTGGAGACCCAGATTCTTTCTTATCCTCCCTCTGCATCTTGCTATGCTGTGACTTCAGACAAATGGCCATACCTTCCAGCACTTACTCCTCAGTGAAGGCTGCTATGGATCAATCATAGAGGTCCCCCTCCCCATGTTCCCAATATTTAAACGTTCACCTGTGCGATCATAAATAAAACATAGACTGGGAGAGAATGAATTATAGAAACGCCCTTTCCTCCGCAATCTGTCACCCCATCCCCACCTCCCCCACACACCAACTCGCTCTGAGGTCCACAGTCTCTCACTCTGGATCATTCTAGCCCTGAATTATTTACATACTTTAAAACCACATGAATCGTACCAATCAAGAAAAAGGTAGTCTGACTCCGACAGAAGCCCGAGTTCTCAAGTGCCTTTTCAGTACTCTTACTAAATACTCAGAATTTAACATCTGACTAGCTAACAGGAAAGAATCTAAAATCGCCATCACAAAAGGTACTTGTGAATTTAAATTGAATGAAGCTTTGGGGAACTCTAGAAAGTCACTGATCTAAAGCCTCATATTTTACCAACAAGAATATAGCATAAGCCACAAGCTTAAGGCCCAAAGCCAGCCTGCTGTCCTGCTTCTGGCACAAGCTTTCACCTTTTTTTTGGGGGGGGGATCATCTATTCCTCCTTGAAGGCTAGTTAAATCCTAAATTGCCAGTGAGTGCCTTCCACATCCAGAGAAGGGTCCAGGGAGAGAGGAGTTGGGATGACGAGGACCTTTCCCTGGACCCTATCTTTCCACACCCTGCTATCTGTGTCTAACTCTATTTTGGAGAAGAAAAAGAATTGCTGAACCAGTCTTTGTTCTGCCAGGAAGAAGCAATTTTCTTTTCTTCCTTGCATATTTACAACCCCATCCCAATATTCTCCATCTCTTCAAAAAGTTTACAGAAATTCAACTGCTTTAGCAAAAAAAAAAAAAAAAAAAAAGGCAGGTAGACCCAACAAAAGGGGGGGATCTACAGAGGGTAGCCAGCACTTCATTCAGGTACTAATTGCCTGCAGGGAAGTCACCAGTTATCACAGGTCCTCAAGCTAAGGAATAGACCATCTTTGACGCACCACACACACACACACACACACACACCAGAACTAATAAACCCTTCCTAACCTTCATCAAAGGTGCCCCAGGCAGGGGTGGACCAACAGACCACCTTTCTCCCCTCAGGCTCAGGAAGACCTCAGGGCTGGGCTGGCATGGAGTTATTTAAGGCGGCAGAAGGAGGGTGGGGCAGAAAACTGTTGGCAGTATCTTCCTCCTCCACCCCTCCCCCTCACAGCTAACATACACCTCACCCTGTAGTCATCTCACTCACTCACTGAAGGCTGAAGCTATAAAATCTCCCAATGTGTGTTTTCTGTCATTGACACTGCTGTCCCCAGCTGCTGTCCACCTCACTTTTAATCCACCCATTCAATCACCACCTCGCTATCTTTTCAGCCAAAACACACACTTAAATCTAAAGAGCAGTATTTAAAAAATCAAAAAAGCATGTGGTCAGACAGGCCATCCCTGGCCTTCGCCAAGGAAGAAAAAGGACACACCAGTGTGGGGGGCTGGAGGGTGGGTGGGGAGATGCAGTCAGCGGCCTAACATGCCTGGCGGGTTCTATGGTGTCTCTAGATGAACCTCCCGCCTACTGACAGTGAAATCAATTTTAGCAATTTCAGTAGGTCGGCCGTGTGACAACAGGGGCATCCCGGAGCTCAGCGATTCAAACAAAAATCCAAAGACTCGTCCAGAACATGCTGGGAAAACCCTCATACAGGATGAAATGAGCCCGCTCAAAGGGAGCCCTTCTGCTTCTATGTAGCAATGCATAATAAATTCTGTATGCCCGGAAAAAGCATGCACTGATGAATTTCAAAGCTGTAGTACGACAAGCAGAGGTTCCAGGATACAGAATTCGACAGCACATCGCCCTTCAAAGAAGCATAATGACTTTAAGCCTCTTTTCCCTCCTATCTCGAATGTCACTACCGCTTATCAGGGAAACGAAGGTGGAAACCCGGGAGGGACTGCCTGGGAAATAAGAGAAAGGAATAGCTTTAGGTCCCTTTGGTGACGGGCTGCCCTGCAAGATGCTGTCATCCAGGCATCCAGGGAAGCATGAAGGGGCCTGGGCGGTGAGCGGAAGCACGGCATACCCGGACACACACCCACCAACACGCACTGATGCAGGCTGGTCTGAGCCAGCAGCGTAGTCCTTGCCCCTCTCCCGCCGCCCTCGGCTTTGGGGATGGAGTAGAGGGGTGTGCTGATGAATGAACACACCTGAGATACCTCCATCCTGACACTTGCTCCCTCCTTCTTCCTCTGGCCGCCGCAGAAAAGACCCTCAGTAGTTTCACTTTCCAGCGCAAACCCACCCGGGCTCTCCTGTCTCCATCCACCCACACTGCAGCCAGCCTGAGGCGGGCGGACATTCCCTCCTAGCAGAGGCCATGATCGCCCTTACCTTCTTCACCTAGCAAAAACGAAAAGGCATAAAGAAACCTGGAATCCCCCCAAGCTCCCCGCATCCTAGCAACTTTTCTTGAAGGGATGGGGAGGGGAGACACGGAGCAGCCGAGAGACACGGCTCGGCGAAGGTCCCCTGCGGCCACCCGGGGATGCTCTGGGAGAAGGGGGGCCCTCCAGGTCCCTCCAACAGCTGGCCCTTTAAAAGCACCTCCTCTACGCGCGGAACAAAGGCGCCGCTCCGGGGGCCCGCTGCGCCCGCCCGGGAGCTGCCGCCGGAGAGCGCAGCCACCGCCCGCTTACCTCGCGGGTCCCCGGCGAGGACTTGTGCGCGTCCAGCCCGGCTCACGCTCCACGCTGCAGTCAGCCCCGCTCTGTTTTTCTGCTACTCCGAGCTGACTTCACCGACACTAGGGCCGGCCAATGGGCGGCGGCGACCAGCCCCTCATTAGCATGGCCTGGAACCATCCACTCCGGCAGCGCCCAGGGGGCGGGGCCTGGCCGGCCGTGACAGGAAGGGGCGTGTGCGCCAATGGGGAGGCGAGGAAGAGCCCGCCGCCAAGCCTACGTCCCTGTGAGCGGGGCGCGCGCCCGCGGATCCCCGCGGATAACGCGCGCGCACCCGCTAACCCTTTCTGTCAAGGGCTGTCCGTGGGTGCTGGGAGACGCTGGCCCTGTGATCTCTCTAAGGGTTTGCCCACAGAGAGCTTGAAAGGAACAGTAAACATAAAACAACAATGTGTCCTAGCTATATACAAATTATTTAACCCTGTGCCCTTTTGCCGATCTGTAAAATGGCACCATAACTCCTCTTGGTAGAAGGTAGTGAATAAAAGCTTGCTCTTGACGCTGTCAGTCTGATTATATTCTACCAGACAGGTGTCTAATGCTTCCTATTTTCTCATTTGATTTTCGCAGCCTTGTGAAAGAGACCCTATTGCTAGTTTCTCTTGTTTTAGTCTTTTCTTTTTTCTTTTTTGACAAACGGCTCAAGTATTCTAGAGTGACCTCAAACTCACTGTACACCCAAAGGATGATCCTTACCTCCACCCTCTGGGATTACAGGATGCCTCACATACACACACTCCAGGCCAACCTCCTAACTCATCTAAAGCGGTAGGGTTATCAGCGGCACCACTCTGGTAGCCTGGCACTGGTATTTTATTCATGCAACCTATATTCAAAGCTCAGTGGGCATGAATGAGATGAGCCCTGGAGTTACTAAGAGGACTCTCCCCTTAAGAAGCTTGCATTGAAGAGAGGGATGAACAATCCAGATCATCTGTAAATGAGTGAGAGTAATAAATAATTGAGCAGGAACAGGCAGGGTATGCAGTTGTGTCCCTTTTGCCTCCTGTCTTATAACCCTCTCCAGTACCCAAAGAACAGCAGAAAAGGGAACAGGGAGGAGAGACTGTTTGCACAGGTTAAGTAAGCCAGAAAGAGCTAGTTTGGAACTTGCTCCCTCCATGATCAACATCTCACATCCCTGGGACACCCCTCAAGGTAGGTGTCCTAGTCAGGGTTTCTATTGCTGCAACAAAACACCATGGCTTAAGCTATTTGGGCAGGAAAGGGTTTATTTGGCTTCCACAGCTCAGCTCTGAAGGAAGTCATGACAGGAACTCAAGCAGGACAGGAACTTGAAGACAGGAGCTGATGCAAGTGACATGGAGGGATGTTGCTTACTGGCTTTCTCCTCGCGGCTTGCTTAGCCTGCTTTCATATCATATAGAATCCAGGACCATGAGCCCAGTATGGCCCATCCACAATGGGCTGGGCCCTCCCCCATCAATCACTAATTTTAAAATGCCCTGTAGGCTTGCCTACAGCCCCATCTTACGGAGGCATTTTCTTAATTGAGATTCTCTCCTCTCACTTGACCTTAGCCTGTGTCAAGTTTACTTAAAACTTTCCATCACAATATAATATTCACATGAGCACAGTTAATCCTTTCCAGCTTTGTTGGGCAAGAATTTTCAGCTCAACTGTGTTCCTAGTTAGCAGGCTGTGTGGTGGGGTAAGGATAGGACTTGCACAGGCAAGGGAAACCCCATCTGTAAAGGTTGTTAGATGCCAGGGAGCAGTGACAGGTCCTGGCTGAGCACCTGCTGTCCTCAACTATGTTGTTTGTGTTTTTTTAATTGAAGCCATCTAGCTAGCTGTCTAGGAGCTCATGCTATAACCAAGGAAGCAAGAAGCCTCCAGAGACCCCGGGGACCCCTCAGCACAGGACTCTGCCTCACCCAGACCTCATCCTATTGCTTTATAAAACACACTTCCCAGGCTCTACGGTTACCTTAAGCCACGGTCTGGACAAACAGTTCTCGGGTCTATAAAGTAATAAAGCAGCAAGTATTTATGTACCTGTCTGGTCTGCTGTGTACTGCTGTACCCGTGCCATGAGCTTTATATGCACTGGTACACACCAAACAACAAACACAGCTAAAGGCACTATTATTGATACTAGGAGATAATCCAAAGAGATAGGAAATGGAAGGCAGAGAAACTGAGTGTTCTCTGCCTACCAAATCCAGGCAACAAGGTTTAGAATGAAAAAAAAAAAAAAAAGAAGAAGAATGATTCAATGTTCGGTTTAGGTGGATTGGTTAAGAAAATAACAATACAACCATTTAGCAGAATACTAGGTAGCTATGAAAAATGAGGAAGTATGTTTGGTAATTTTAAAGGGGTGGGGAGCTGTGGAATTGGTTTAGCAGATCAGAACACTTATTCTCTTGCTAAGGACCTGGTTCAGTTTCTAGTGCACACACAATGGCTCACAACCATCAGTAAGTCACCATGGCCAGCTGTTGACATAGCAACACTCAAAGGTGCTTATATTATTAAATAGGAAAGTTGATTGAAAACTGATATGTAAAATCTCATTAGAATTTTCTCTCTAGAATTATGTACAATAATTATTTTGTTCATCCTTGTTCTTCTGATTTTTTTTCCATTATAAACATCTATCAAGCCAGGTGGTGGTGGCACATGCCTTTAATCCCAGAGACAGAGGCAGACAGATCTCTGAGTTTGAGGCCAGCCTGGATAACTGAATGAGTTCTAGGATAGCCCAGGCAAAACTCGTCTCAAAAAACAAAAACAAGCAAACAAAAATCTATCAGATTGTTCAGTGAAATTTCTAAAAAAAAATAATAATAATTTAAAAATAAAACACCAGACTCTGCTCCGGAAATTTTGAACTCTACTCAAGGCCATTCTCAGAAGTGAGAAACTGAAATTCAAGAGACCTAAGGAGACACTGAACTCTCAAAGTCACTCCTTAGTAGCTTCAGCAACTGTCCTGTTTCTCACTGGAAAGCATAAAATGAGGCATCAAAGAGAGGAAGAAGAATCTAGGAAAGACAAGAAGGTGGCAAGTGGAAGAAACAGAGAGAAACCAAAACCTTCTACCTCAAAACATACCTCAGACATCTCTTCCATGAAGACCAGAATAGGGTATCTTGCTTCTGTGATACCAACACTTGGGAGGCTGAAGCAAACTTTCAAAGTCAGCTTGGGCCACTCAGTGAGACACAGTCTCAAAGAGCAGCTCCCAAAATGTGGTCTAATAATAGTTCACAATAAAAGCAACCTAAGAGATTATTAGGTTTAATTAGACCAACTCATCCCTCTCTCAGCCATTCACTGATTCATCTGGGAGGCAGACCTGGTGTTATACATGTGGCAAGAGTAAGACCTGCCTCCCTGCTGCCCCAAGGTGAGGCCCAAGGAGGCAGAGACCCAGTCAAGTTCACGTAGGCTGTACTGGTTAGTTTTGTGTCATCTTGACACAAGGTAGTGTCATCAGATAGAAAGGAATCTCAATGAAGGATATGCCTCCATAAGATTGGGCTACAGGAAATTTTCTTAATTAGTGACTGATGGGGGATGGCCCATCCCACTGTGAGTGGTGCCATCCTCGGTGTGGTGATCCTGGGTTCTATAGAAAAGCAGGTTGAGCAAGCCATGATGAACAATAAGCAGCACCCCTCCATTTGTCTCTGCATCAGCTCCTGCCTCCAGATTCCTGCTCTGTTTGAGTTCTTACCCTAACTTCCTTCAATGATGAACTATGATGTGGAAGTGTAAGTAAGCCAAATAAACCCTTTCCTCCCCAAGTTACTTTTGGTCATGGTGTTTCATTACAGCAACAGAAACCTTGACTAGGACATGGGTCAAAGCTCACACTAAAGGCAAGCAGCCTATATTGAGTAACATCCCACCCTTCCTTTAATGTTGTGATTGCCTCTCTTGGAGTTCTTTATTTTTATACAAAAGATCCTGATTTTTTATTTTGAACTGGACCCCTGGGTTGGAGCTATATCTCAATGGTAGAATACCCCTGCCTAGCATGTGTTAGGCCCTGGATTTGATCAAAGAACTAGGCCCTATAAATTATGTAACTGTCCTTAAGGATAGGAGACACCATGGCCTAAGGGGTAGGGCTTAGATCAATGGTTCTCAACCTTCCTAATGCTGCAACCCTTTAATTCAGTTCCTCATGTTGTGGTGACCCCCAACCATAAAATTATTTCATTGCTACTTCCTAACTGTAATTTTGTTACTGTTATGAATCACAATGTAAACATCTGATTTGTAGAATATGAGACTCCCAGAGAGGTCATGACCCATAGGTCAAGAACCACTTGCTTAGATGATAGCTGAGGGCTCTCTCCATCACAACTGTCTTTAATATACTTCACTCTCATTCTCAGATCCCCAGGGATATGGGGAGGACCCTGCTTCCCTACCCCACAACACTTCAGCTCTGCCTTTCATGTGGAATGTAGCAGATTTGACATGAGTAGTGTATTTCTCTGTAGTTTTATTCCTCTGCCCCTCTTTACCTCTTTATAGATTGTAAATACCACAAAGTCTCAGCCTATATCTGCTCATCTCAATGGGCCTTACGAGTGTTCCTCACACACTGAAAACAGAAATCCACTTAAGTTTAATTTAATCTTATTAGTAACTCCTCGTTTTCTCTTCATGTGCCTCAGATTGTTCCCAGCAGTGTCTCTACTACTGGAAAAAGAAGTAAAGTGCGAAGCAGGAGAGTCATGAACACAAACGAGAGTCATCCCCAAGTTCTAGCAATCCCCCCCAAAGGCGATCTCCGTGAGGAATCAAGAGAGGAAGAAACAAGGCTCTACAGACAAGCTGGGTCACCAGCCTTTCTTCTGTCTATCTTTGGGGTCGCACAGGTTTAGTGACAGATCTCTAGATGACCGTGACAAGCTTTAGAAACAGCAAAATTTCCTTAATGAACAAATTCTCATCTAGGTATGGTAGTACAGGGGAGGGGAGAAGGAAGCCTAACCACAAAACTTATGCCTAAAATGTATAGAACTGATATAAACATTGCACACACACACATACACATACAC